GGTATTGTTGAATATCGTGCCAATGTTCTAACTTACAAAGTTGAACAGGGAATGGAGGGGGAAAAAAAGCTTAACACTGATTTAACTCAGTGTTTGAACAATCAGGCCAAACTTTTTAATGCCAACTCAAATAAAAAGCAAGGTGTATGGGTTAAGATGCCACATCTTCCTCCAGAGGACATCTATTTTACGGATCTTGTGGGAAAGGGCTTGTAATGCGAATTCTGACAGACCACTCACTCACTGAGATGGTGTAACAGGCGTCCACCCCATGAAAGGAGCAAAGAGCGTCCCTCCTTCCTTCTGACCGGACGCAAGGAGGCAGACCTGTCCGAGTCACAGCCCCCTCCTCCTCGAGCAGGCAGGGCACCCCGAGGGCACAGGGCAGATGCGGTGCTGGACGACTTGGTGTCTGCTGTTCCGCCACCTCCGTACGGGAGCGGACCCCTCTCTTTTCCAGCAAGCCCATGGACAAATGCATCTGGCGAATGTCTGTAGAGCAGTAGCTTTCAAAGAGAATCTCCAAATCTAAGGCTTCCAAATGACAATTTGATTTCGACCTTTTTAAAAACTCCTGCCATGATCAATTCCAAAGGCCTGCCTCCTCATGTTAGAAGTTCTGTGGAAGAGTTACTATAGGTCAAAATCTACTTATGAAATAACCAGATGCAATAAATGATTCTCTGCTAGACCATGTTTTAGACAAAGCTGCTGTTAGGTTTGAGGGCCCACTGAGGAAAAAAAAAATCTATGTCCCACTGAGAAATGAGATGAAAATTTAGGAAGCCAGCTGACGAGAGGGAGAAAAGACTACTTACAAAACTGACTGTACAGTGTAATTTCATTTCTATTAAAACACGTACACATACACATAGGCAGTTATCTGGAAAAGTGATACAACGGTGATCTCTGGGTGGTAGGAATGTATTACATTTGCTTCTCTACATTTTCAAAGTTTCAACAATGTACATGCAGCACCACTTCTGTAATAATACTTTAAGCCACCAAGGGCCCCTTAAAGTCAAAAATCAGTATTTATGAAGTGCTTGCTATAGGTGAGACACAGAGATCTGCTTTTATTCTCACCGAGTCCTCCAAGTTTTTTTAGTTAATCCTCCTCCAGCCTCCCGGCTAAGCAACAGCCGTTTTTAAATATAACATTTCCTTAAACTCCAAAGAGTTTTCTCTCTGTTCTCTCAGGCACACTAATAATTTTTCACTGTTTTCCCTTTATAGCTAGCTACTCTTTCAACCTTGGTAACTAATATAAAACCAAAACACTCCTTTGTAAGCTGAAAACCTGTGGCAGAGGAGGAACTAATATGGTGGGGGGAGGGGATCCTTTTAAATGAACAGCCAGCCAGCTTTTCCAAAGTTAAAATCTCTGGCAACACACCCAATTTTTCTTACTAGAAAGCAGTGTGTGATCTTTAGATGGAAACAAGGTCAAGTTCTACTTGCATGTGAGGCAACACCCTTTATCTCTAGCTCGTGTAAAGATGGAGACATGGGGAAATCTAACATAACTGAAAACTGTACTTGTTCTCGGATGTGGAAATAAAAATGACACATCACATACACACATTAAAAACTTAAGGAAGAAAGCAAACCAGTAAAGTCGTCTGCTTTTAAAGTGACCTGACGTAAGACTGAAATATTTGGGACAAAAGGGCGGTAACTCTTCTGGGTTCCAGCTCTTTGGTAGAGAGCGTGACCCGCAAGAACATCCCATGGACGTCTCCACAGGCGCTGCCCACTCTGCGACGACAAATTATTATACCCAAAGTGGTGTGTGGTTACGGGGAAGGCTTCCTTTCCTCACCAGAAGCGATTAAATATCGATTACTTGTGATTTGATCAAAATGCAACTTACCATCGTAATCTCTAACCCTTGGTGGGTCACTACCTAAATCAGCTTTCACGGAAATAATTGTCTCTGAATGTTAAAACTAGTTCATTAACTTTGAAAGATATTAGCCTTGAGCTACAAGTAACTAGAGAGCTAGCCTTTCACAGCGGGTTTTCTAAAAAGGAAAAATAGATCACCTCATAAAAACCTTTGGGAAAGGAGCCCCCAAGCATTCCCATTAATGGAAACCTCAGATTCTCTGCCACTTCCCTGAAAACGTAGATGTCTTTAGTCATTCAACTGCAGGCATCATTTTACAAAAAGAAATTTTGAATTCCCTCCTGGCCGGGGCAAACGGCGGGCGGCAGACCCTCGTCCCTGCCGAGGCGAGACGCAGCGCCCGCCTCCCGGTTACTAGAAAGCCACGGCTGCTTTTAAACGGTCTCCGGGTGACGGCGCATTCCTAACGGGTTTCGAAGACACGTTTAAATCGCCCGCTTTTTTGTTTGCTCGCTGCCTTCACCGGGGCCCGGGACTGCGGCCGCCCCCGCGCGCCCGGGAGGAGAGCCGGGAGGAGAGCCGGTGGAGGGCCCTGGGGGGAGGATGGGAGCGGGTGTGGGGGAGAGAGAGCCGGCGGGGCGGGCTAGGGGCAATTCGGGGTGGAGGTGCGGCCGCCGCCCTGCACAGAGAGCTCACCGTGTGCGCCCGCCAGCCGGGGTGCGCGCAGGGCCGCGGCGCCCCTCCTCCCGCCCTCCCTCGCCGTCCCCCTCCCGAGGCAACAGAAACAACAGCGCGGGAGGAGGGGAAAGTAACTCCCGGCACCTTCGCCGGAATTAGCCCGGGTGCAGTGATGACACCTTCTCCTGGTGCAACCGAGCGCCACTCGCTCCGCAGCGCCGTGCCCGCCGTCACCCCCCCCATTCGAAAGTGGCCACCCCCACCCCGCCGCCGCCGCCGCTCCCGCCCCGCCGCCGCCAGCTGCACCAATCCGCTCGGCCCCAGTGGCAAATCAAACGCTCCCTCGCGTCCAGAAGCCACTTGCGCCGCTGGAAACGGCCGCGCCGGCCCCCTCCCCGAGTTCCTCCCGGGCGGCACCTCCGGGCTGGGGCGGGCGCTCGGCGAGAACGCCTGCGAGGTGGGAACGGCGGCGAGCAGCCCCGAGCGGGCTCGGCTCCCGCTCCCACTCCCGCCCCCAGACAGTTCTGGAAACTGTGGATCACCTCTGTCACAGGAAGCCATCCGGCGAGGAAGGCGGTGCGGAACCAACAAACAAACGCCTGCGGCCGCCCGCCGGAATCAGCGCGGGGACAGCGACGGGCTTCGGGCCGTTCCCCGGGCGGGGGTGCGGCGGTCGCCCCCGCGGCGCGGGCTTTGTGCGGGGCTCCCGCGGCGCGGGCGCGGCGGGCCGGGCGTACCCGCCTCCGGAGCCCCCCACCCCGGCCTCCGCAGCGCTGCTGGGACCGTTAGGTGACGCTCCGACCACGGCCGAGGACCCAGCGCCTCGGCCACCACCCGCCCCCATTTCCTCGCAGAGCCGCCTCTCCTCCAACGCCAGAGGCGGGCTCCAAAAGTTGGCCCCGGGGCCACCCAGCACCTGCCCACGTGCCGTGGCGGACCTCTCCCGGGTCTCCCCCGTCCCCTTCCCCCCGCCGCCCTCGGCCGCCAGGTCACCTATTACCGGTGGGAGGGGAGAGAGACTGCTATTTAAACGCCCGCGGAAGTTGAGGCACCCCCTCTGGCGGGTGCCGTGCACCTGCCTCCCGCCGCCGCGCTCCGCCACTTTGAGCAGCAGCCGCGTCCTCGGCCCCGCCTCCTGCCCGCAGGCGGGCGGGGGGAGCGGGAAGGAGGTGGAAGGGATCGAATTTCTCCAGCAAATGGGACCGTTCCGACAGGATTCGGTTCCCCGGTCAACATTCCACATTCCATCTCTCTCCCGCATTTGCAAGCCAGCGCCAACAACCCGGAAAGCCTGCTGGCTGCCGAACAACAGCCCCCAACTCACAAATACACACTCACTGGCACAGGACACGTGCACTGAAGGGCTTTGCAACTTGCAGTCCCGGGGTACACACAGCACATTCATTTAAGGCAGCGAAGAGCAAGCGACCCCACCCCCACAATTTGCAGATGGTGCCAAAGGTTGCAATTTGCAATCCGTTTTAAGTTCATGGTTAATCGGTACTTTGCTCTAGCAATGCAACTCCTTCCTAATTTCACCGATGAAGGGTTTTACACTTTACAGGCAGTCTCGCTGTAAGTAAAAGATCTGATCGTTGGAAACCCAATTTGGAAAAAATCTAATTGCCAAGCTGTCCCTCCACCCCGTGCTCACTGCCCTTGAATTGATGCAATGAATATTTTGGACATGTGGTGACGCGGTGACAAGAGTGGGGCTGCGGCCACCCTACACAATGTACCTATACACATACACACACCTATATTTAGAAAAATATAGTCGTCCCCCTCCCTCTACGGTCACACACACTCTGGATTCATATATGTATGCGAACCTGCGTTCTGCCATTGCCATCTGTCTACCAAGTTGCTACTATGCTTTCCACTTTCATGCAGCCTAATGCACTTTGGGCCAACTAAACTCGGCTTCTGCTCCTGAATGCGTTTAATTGATGCTTCACCTGAAAACCGCATGTTTTTTCGCAAATCTAAAAGAAGAAAAAGCGCTAAGTCTTCAGCCCCCCCAAAATGAAAAATAATCATAATAAAACTTACTGATCCAACATAAATCAATTCTCAGGCTCCAAAAATCATCCTCTCCTCCACCTCCTCCTCCTCCTCCTCTGGCCCCCGCCCCGGCAATGCCCAAGTTACTGGTGGGATAGTAAGGCTGCGCTCGGCGGCTGCCTACCCTCCCTCCTCGCTACATATCGAGAACCCAATCTTTTGGCGCCATATTAATGACGTACTATATTATTTCCACTAGGCAGCGACCTTCGGCATTAAATTACTCCCGAGAACTCCCGAGCAAAGCAACAAAACCATCAAATATGGCTGAGCCTCTCGGCTCGTCCTGCAGCCGCCGACGCCACCGCCGCCGCCGCCGCCGCCGCGGGATCGGGACGCGCACACGGACCCACGCGCCGCGGACACACGCGCGGCGCGCCCCCTGCCCCCCCGCGGCCCGCGCGCGTACCTGCTGCGGAGGGGTTCGGCCGAGCTGGGCTCCGCGCCGCATGAGTTCGGGCCGCGGCGAGCGGGCGGGCAGGCCGGGAGCCGGGCGGGCCCCTGCGTCCGCTGGCGCGCACACACCCGGCACTCGCGCAGGGAGGCACTCTCGGACGGGCGTTTGGCTTGTTATGGAGGAACGACTGTGTGAATCAAACTCATTTCTGGGTCACTGCTGCCACAGGGGGGAGCACTTTAATCCCTTGCCAAAACGAGAGGGTGGGGACAGGAGGGCGGAGGGAGCGCGCTGGGAGCCCACGGGCGGGGGGCTCCGTCCCTTGTTAACTCTTCGCAGTCCTCGCCTTGGCCAGCTCGGCCTGCGTCCACGGGGGCGGGCACTACTCAGCTTTGAGAATCTCTTTCTTCATGTCTCTTGTGAAGCTAGAAAGTCTTGAGGTGTCTCCCGGGGGAAGGTGGGCTTTTACATTATCCCCTTCAAGCTGTCCCAGTTCCAACTCTTGTCTGACGTCACTGCACCCAGACAGGGATTCTTTCAAATTAGTTTAAAATTGTGTAAAAAAAAAAGTGTGACTATTAGGGCGTATAATTTGGGTGAAAGGTTTTACTTTTAGACTGAATGTCAAAATAAATAGCTCTTTTGTAGTAACAGGTTTAAGGAGTTGCGAATTAGAACAACATTTTAAAAACAGAGAATCCAATTTGGGAGCTGGAACACGTCTTTACCTAAATTAGCATCAAGCTGATCACTGCAAATGAGCATTAATTCATTAGAAGACAGTGATTATTCATAAATTGACAACACCTTTCTGTTACACAGTATCACACAGCTGGCCATTGCCTTCCAAATATGAGAATTAAGCCTAATGCTAAAACTGGAGTTGCAGACTAATACAACAACATTAGTCGTCAGAGATTCATTTTTGGGGGGGAGGAGGGCATTTACATGTGAAAATGAGTGGTTAATGATTTCCCACAGAAATAAACCGGCTTTTTCATGGGAAGGTTAACATACTTCTTTCCTGGGCCCCGCCAAAGATACAAGTGTGTATAATACTCAGCTTCATAAATGAAGACCTCGGTGCAGATTACGAAAACTCCCTTTCAGTAAATAGGAACACTGATCACTAACTACAAAATTTGGTATAGAACTCAAAGGCATTGGATGAATTCTTCTGAATATATCTGGTTTGACTTCACACAGTCACACACCAACCCATCCACCCACATCAAGAACAGAAAATCCTATAAACACGGCACAACCAAACGAATTGAGCCTTTCCATTATTTTTCAGAAAACAAAGTAAGCCAAAGGAAATCTTAAGTAGACATGGACTGTTTCGCTAATGAAGAGTACGAAGACGCCGCCACCTTGGCCCTATCCATTTTGTGTGCTCATTTAATCCTGTTCAAAGAGATGACTGAAATAAAGCACTATGCTACCATTGTTACTATTATTAGTATTGCATTGCAGTTATTGCTATTTTCATTGGTTCACCTTACACATACTCTAGACGTAACAGACCCAGCAATGGACCTGGCTCTACCGGTTATCAGCGTGTGCCTGTCGGGTAAATTACAGAACTCTGTGCCTCAATTTCTTCATGAGTAGTAAAATGAGGTTAACAGCCCCAACGTAAAGTATTATTGAAAGGAATGAGATAACCCCATAAAAGTGCCCAGCAGAGGCCTGGCAGTATGAGGTTATCAATTCCCTTTGCCATCCCTCCTATATCCTTTTCTTGGTCTTCTCTCCACGGAAAATTGCAACTTCTAACTTCCAGCCAGACTTACAATACTTCCCTCATTCCCTGCCAAAAAAATTTTTAAGACACACTCGCCATTTGTCATTTTACTTGTTTTTTCTACCCCTACTCCCAGTACATCGAGCAACCAAATCAAAGTAGTGAATAAATAAATGAGAAACATAAATAGATGCAAACAAACGCCGCCTGACGCACTGGTCAGCACTGATGGCCCCAGGAACAGCCTTGCAGCTCTGCCAGCTTGAGTAGTGATGGCTGAGGGGTGTCCCGTACAGGAAATAACCCCGGGCCGGCAGTCAGGAGACTCCCGTCAACTCACACGAAGCGCCTCAGTTTCCCCACTGAGATGACAGACAAGGTCAGATCTAACTCATAATTTCTGATCGCTCTTTGCTAACTTAGAAAGTAATTATTTGAAGAAATGGAGGACAACTTGAATTGAGAAGAAACGTGTTATTATTAATGATTAGCTGTTGACATCTGTTAAATAGAGATATCTTTTGCCATCGGACCACCAAGGACCAACTCATTTCTAAAATGGAAAAGGCAGTGACATGGTTTGCCTTTTGACAGCACAGGTAATACATTCTAGAGTAAGAAGTACTATGCTTACAATGAGGAAACCGAGTTTTGGGTTCCACTCTGTCACTTACTGTCACATCCACCAAGCCACTGAGGATCACCATTTCTTGGTCTCTCCATTGGTTTTGTGAATTCGCACTCTATTATCAGAAATGAAAGGATATGCAAGAAAATAGCTACAAAGTAGTCACTGCAGTTGAAATATTGAGATTCTAGTCTTTTCTGATCTGATCAGTGTTCTTGGTGATAATTACCATACTATATATCCCTTACATTTTGCTGTAGTCATATAGTTTAACTATTTCTTTCATAATAATGCATTTTTATGGAACAAAGATTGGGATATTCTGGCTGTGAAACCATACATAATTATACCTATAAATGTTTACTTGGTCATTTCCTTTGTGTCTACCTTACAGGTAAAGAATTATAAAGCCTTGACAAGAAATTGAGAATTGGTTATATTCGAAGTGAAGTAGAATCATATGTTAAAGTGTGCTGTACCTCATTCCTTTAGAGAAATTAGCAAGAAATTCTTACTGACAAATACCATTGCCAGTTGGTATACATTACATCACATAGAAAGAATATTTTATAGTACAAGAGCTCTCCTGGAGAAAATGAGTTTTGTTCTAAAAGTTTACTTGTACTTTGATTGGAACTTTGAATTTATGACCCAAATAAACCTTGTTATAAAGAGGGCTTAGGTTGTCAAGTAATTAAAAAACAGTGATTTGAATAACTAAATGACAGAAAAGAATAACTTTTCATTAATTTTTTGGAATGACATTGTTATTCCATTGGGTGGGAAGGTTACCTACTTAAAGGAGGGAGGGATATGTGGGCACACTCTGAACAAGAAGAGTAAAGTTGGGAACCATGGTCAGCCCACGCCTGCACCCAAGATACATAAAGTCGTGAGTAACAGCTCAGGACCAGAGCGCCCTGTCTGACCGGTCGAGGAGGTCACCAGTCCTGACCAGCCAGGCAAGTGGTTACGACATTCGATTGTAAGGAATGATTGGAAGGCCAGTAACCGAGATACTTTTTTGTTGATGTCATTATGTGAGTACCAACTAAATTATTTTCTACTTGAGGTTCTTCCTTTTTTTTCTCCCCCCTTCTTTTGTCTGCTTTTGCTTTTGGTTGTTTTAACTTTGCTCGTTTTCATGCTTTTAGCACAAGTTAAGATGTCAAAGAGAAACAAGTCTGACGGGGGACAGGAGAGAAGATTGTTCACTTCAACCAGACAACGTGTCCACCACATTTGACATTTGAGGGGATTCAAAATAGGAAAAGGTGTTCCCTAATCTTGAGAAGATAACATGATAATAGAGAGAATTTTGAAAATTTAGAAAGATGAAGGAAATAAAGCTCACCTATTATAAATATTGCCATAGATGTTCAGTCGTCTTTCTAGGCATTTTTAATAAAATTGGAATAATGTCACACGTTTCATTTTACAATCTTTTCATTCACATATTTCATTATTTTCATTTCAGTATTGTACATTTTTCAATTAAAATAAAATTTGTAATGTTCAGGTCGTTGGCTGCCTGCATATCATACCTCCATTTTTACAGGCCACCTCAAACACACACTCTCATAGCTACTCGCTGGACCTTGTCTACACTTGGAAAGTTCTGCTGTCTTCAGTACCAAATTGAAGTCTTTCATTTTATGATCTCTAAGGCTCCCAGAGCTTATGATTCTCCCATGACCTTTCCTTTTACCTGAACAGTCACTCCAACCTACCCCTTCAGTCTTCTTTCCTTACTTGGTGCAGCACGGTGGGGTCTCAAAGTGGGATCTCTAGCAGCTGCGCCTGCCCGAGAGCCTGTGGGAGAATTGTTTCTAGCCCCACCCTGGCCCCCTGAATCAGAAAGGGGGCACTAGCCACGGGTGTTTCCGCAAGCCCTCTGGGTAATTTGGACCCACACTCACATTTGAGAGCCTCTCGTGCAGACCTTACTTGCACCCACCACGCAGACGTACAGGCCCAGACACCAGACAAGGTGGCAAGCACACATATCTCTGCCCACAGGCCGGTCAAAATATAAACAAGTGCTTCCCATAAACCACAGGGTGTGGAGGAAACGAACACGTGGACCCTAATCTCGTGTGTGTGCAGTGGGAGGAGGGTGGTCACAGAAGACGTCTCAGAATGAGTGACCCTAACTGAACCCTGAAGGATTATACATATTAGCCAGGTGAGCAAGGGGGCGGGGGAGCCAAGTGTTGGTTTTTGGCTTTTGGTTTTGTTTTTTACAAAAACTCTGGCTTCTGTGTGGAGAATGGATGGGTGGGTGAGACACAGGTAGGGAGGCGAGATGGGAGGCTTCTGAGGTGACCGGCTGAGAGGTGAGGGCTTAGGTGGTGGTCCCTGACTATGGATGGAGACAGCGGGCACCGCAGCCTGCAATGGAGGCAGGGCTTACGCAGCCCCAGCCCTTCAGGGGTCTCCACGCCGGCTCCAGGGAGGGGTGAGAGCTCCTTCCCACGGCCAGCCAGTCAGGGGTGTCTCTGGGACACCTCGAGAGGGCTCCGTCTAAGTAGAGGCCATGTATGGGAAAAGCAGCATCCAGGGGACCAAACGAAGGTCCTGCTGAGCAGTAAGAGAATACAGTCATGACTCTCTGACCCCATCTTACTTGAGCCTGCCCAGTTCCCATAACGTGTCATTTAGCAGCTTCTGCTTCGTCCTACACATGGAAATACTAATCATTTAAGGAATCTAACCTGTAGCCTAGGAATTACTGCAACAGTCCCCCTGAGGGAAACTACCTCCCCAAG